GCCAAGTTCAAAATGATTTAATTCTGAATCTGGCCAATTGATCTGCAAATTTGACTAGAGTTATAAGTAATCGGTTCACGACACACAAAAATTTTTAGTATATAGTAAAGTAATCATATTCGCTCTGATTTACGCACCCGATTGGTCGACATACGTATCAATATTGCTATGTTTAAATTATAATAATTTATTAATAAATTAGATTATTAAAAAAATATTATACAATTTTTTTTTGTATATATCAATATTTTAATTTTAATTGCATTTAAGTAAATAAATATAATGATTTGTTAAATAATTTTGTATCATAATTTAATGTTCTATAAAAAATATCTAAAGATAAAGAATTTTTTTGCTATTTTTACCAATAATATAATTGTCTATGTTAGAAAAAAATATTATTAAACACCATTAAGTTATTTCAATAAATAGAATCAGCTACTGGTAATTATAACTAAAAATGACATCCGAAAGCAGTATTAAAAATAACCGGCTAATTCAGTAACTAGTAATTTTAAATTATTCAGATAGTTCAAGCATCTCTCATTACGACTAGCTTTTTAAGCTCAAATAGTAGAGATATAGCTTGGTTATTATTACCACTTGTTAACAATAATTAATCTTTTTTAGCTCCTTATACGCTTTTTGATTACCATTATGATTTGCTTTTTGAAACCATTCAATAGCTTTTTGTGTATCTAATAAAACACCATTACCCTTTTGATAGCATAAGGCCACAACATATTGCGCATTAGAATCTTCCCCTTCAGCTGATTTTAAATACCATTCGAATGCTTTCTTTTCATCTTTGTCAGTTCCAAAACCATTGCGATAGCACCATCCAATTTTATTTTGTCCGCTTGGATTTCCCCCTTCCGCAGATTTTAAGTACCATTTAAACGCTTGTTTTTCGTCTTTAATAGTCCCAAACCCGTTTTGATAACACCATCCGAGATTATATTGACCTCCCGAATTACCGCCTAGTGCAGATTTCAAATACCATTCAAATGCCATATTTTCATTTTTGGCAGTCCCAAATTCGTTTTGATAACACCATCCAAGTTTATTTTGTCCATTAGAATTTCCTCCTTCAGCAGATTTTAAATACCAATTAAATGCTTCCTTCTTATCTTTATTGGTTCCAAAGCCATTCTGATAGCACCATCCAAGATTATACTGTCCACGAGAATTCCTTTCTATTGCTGATTTCAAATACCATTCAAATGCTTTCTTTTCATCTTTAGATATTCCAGAACCATTCTGATAACACCAGCCGAGATTGCATTGACCGCTCGAATTTCCACCTTCTGCAGATTTCAAGTACCACTCAAATGCTTTCTTCTCATCGCTAACTGTTCCAAATCCGTTATCATAGCATAACCCAACACTATATTGCGCGTTAATATTCCCATTTTCTGCTGATTTCAAATACCATTCAAATGCTTCCTTTTCATTTTTATCACTTCCAAAACCATTATCATAACACAATCCAAGGCTATACTGTCCACTTGAGTTTCCTCCTTCAGCAGACTTTAAGTACCATTCAAATGCCTTCTTTTCATCTTTAATGGTTCCAAACCCATTTTGATAACACCATCCAAGGTTGTTTTGCCCATCGGAATTCCCATATTCAGCAGATTTTAGATACCATTCAAACGCTTTTTCTTCGTCTTTAATAGTTCCAAAAGCATTTTGATAACACCACCCAAGATTGTTCTGCCCATCAGAGTTTCCGCTTTCTGCAGATTTTAAATATAATAAAAATGCTTGTTTTTCATTTTTATCAGTGCCGAAACCATGTTGATAACACCAACCAAGACTGTTTTGTCCATTGGAATTTCCTCCTTCGGCAGATTTAAGGTACCATGTAAATGCTTGTTGTTCATCTTTAACGGTTCCTAAACCATTTTGATAGCACCATCCAAGATTATACTGTCCAATAGAGTTTCCACCTTCAGCTGATTTTAAGTACCATTCAAATGCTTTCCTTTCATCCCTAGGTGTTCCAAAACCGTTTTGATAGCACCAACCAAGTTTATTTTGTCCTTGAGAATTCCCGCTTCTTGCAGATTTTAAGTATAATTCAAGCGCTTTCTTTTCATTCTTAGAAATTCCGAGACCATTCTGATAACATTGCCCAAGACTACATTGACCGTTAGAATTCCCATTTTCAGAGGATTTTAAATACCATTCAAATGCTTTTCTTTCATCTTTAGTAGTTCCAAAACCATTATCATAACACAGACCAAGTCTATACTGTCCTTGAGAGTTTCCACTTTCCGCAGATTTTAAATACCATTCAAATGCTTTCTTTTCATCTTTATCAGTTCCAATACCATTATCATAACATAGTCCAAGATGATACTGTGCACTAGGATTCTTGTCTTCCGCTGATTTTAAATACCATTCGAATGCTTTCTTTTCATCTCTGAGAGTTTCGGGTCCATTTTGATAATACCACCCGAGACCCTTTTGCCCATCAGAATTTCCGCCTTCAGCAGATTTTAAATACCACTCAAATGCTTGTTTTTCATCTTTAATAGTTCCAATACCATCGTCATAACATAATGCAACATTATACTGTCCGTTAGTATTTCCGCCTTCTGCAGATTTTAAAAACCATTTAAATGCTTTATTCTCGTCCCTAATAGTTCCAACTCCATTTTTAAAGCACCAACCAAGCTTAAATTGTCCAGCAGTATTTCCGCTCTCTGCAGATTTTAAATACCATTTAAATGCTTTTCTTTCGTCTTTAGCAGTACCAATTCCATTTTGATAACATACTCCAGCGTTATACTGTCCACCAGAATTTCCCCCTTCGGCAGACTTTAAGTACCATTCGAATGCTTTCTTATCATCTTTATCAGTTCCAAAACCATATTGATAGCAACTTCCGAGATTGCATTGTCCGTTAGAATTTCCACCATCAGCCGATTTTAGGTAACATTCAAATGCTTTTGCTTTATCTTTTGCAGTTCCAAATCCATTTTGATAGCACCATCCAAGATGATATTGAGCAACAACGTTTCCGATTTCAGAAGTTTTTAAATACCACAAAAATGCATCCTTTTCGCTTTTAGCAGTCCCAAAACCATTTTGATAGCACCATCCAAGTCTATTTTGTCCGTTAACATTCCCATTTTCCGCAGACTTCAAATACCATTCAAATGCTGCCTTTTCATCTTTAGGTATTCCGGAACCATTTTCACAGCATCTTCCAACGTTAAACTGTCCATCTGAATTTTCATCTTCAGCAGATTTTAGGTACCATTCGAATGCTTCCTTTTCATCTCTAATAGTTCCAAAACCATTTTGATAACACCATCCAACATTGTTTTGACCATTAGAATTCCCATCCATTGCGGACTTTAAATACCATTCAAATGCTTTCTTTTCATCTATAGCAGTTCCAAACCCATTTTGATAACACCAACCTAAGTTATATTTAGCAACGACGCTTCCATTTTCAGCAGATTTTGAATACCATGTAAAGGCCTTTTTTTTGTTTTTAGTAGTTCCAAACCCATTTTGATAACACCAGCCAAGTTTATTTTGACCGTGAGGATTCCCTCCTTCGGCAGATTTTAAATACCATTCGTACGCTTTTTTCTCATCTTTAGCAGTTCCAATGCCAAGTTGATAACACATTGCAAGTTTATTTTGCCCAACGTTATTTTTATTTTCAGCAGATTTTTTATACCATTCAAATGCTTTAATATCATCTTTATACGTTCCAAAAGCAGTTTGATAGCATAATCCAACATTATATTGTCCGTTAGAATGTCCGCTTTCTGCAGATTTTAAATACCAATTAAATGCCTCTGCTTTGTCTTGTTCAGTTCCAAATCCATTTCGATAACACCATCCAAGATTACATTGTGCGTCAGTACATCCATTTGTTGCAGACTTCAAGTACCATTCAAATGCTTTTTTTTCATCTTTATTAATCCCGAAACCATTCTGGTAACATAATCCTACATTATATTGTCCGCTATGATTTCCGGTTTCAGCTGATTTTAAGTACCACTCGAATGCTTTTTTTTCATCTTTAGTAGTTCCAAAGCCATTTTGGTAACACCACCCGAGTTTATATTGCCCAAAAGAATTTTCACCTTCAGCAGCTCTTGAATACCATTCAAAAGCACGTAATTCATCTTTAACAATTCCGAACCCATTTTGATAACACCAACCAAGATTACATTGACCGCCAGAATTTTGACCTTCGGCAGATTTCAAATACCATTCAAACGCTTTTTTTTCATTTTTGGCAACACCAGTACCATTGCGATAGCACCATCCGAGATTATTTTGTCCACTAAAATTACCATTTTCAGCAGACTTTAAGTACCATTCAAACGCTTTCTTTTTATCTCTAAAAGTTCCAACACCATTTTGGTAACACCATCCAGCATTATATTGTCCATCAGAATTGCCATTTTCAGCGGATTTCAAATACCACTCAAATGCCTTCTTTTCACTCTTAGCAGTTCCAATTCCATTATCAAAACAAAGTGCAAGATTATATTGAGCATTATTATTACCACTTTCAGCAGATTTTGAATACCATTCAAATGCTTTATTTTCATCTTTATCAGTTCCGAAACCATTTTGATAACACCATCCAAGATTATATTGTCCAATAGGGTTTCTATTTTCTGAAGATTTTAAATACCATTCGAAAGCTTTTGAAATATTTTTCGTAACACCATAACCATTATAATAGCATTCACCAATATAATATTGCCCAATACCATAATTTTTTTCAGCCACTTCAGAAAATAATTGAAAAGCTTTATCTTCATCTTTGTCTATCCCGATACCATTCAAATAAGTTATACCTAAAGAAATCTTACAAGTAATCCAATTATTTTTAATAAGATCCTTAACTAAGGTTTCAACGCGTTTGTTATTAGATTGAGCGTTACCAAATGTATCCTTGAGTTCTGGCACTTTTGTATACATTTCAATCGCTCTTCGATGATTAATCGTAGTTCCAATTCCATATTGGAAAAAGAATCCAATAATACCAGTAAATAAAAAATGATGTTTATGATCGATTAAATGACTAAGAACAATTCCCGGATTTTTGTTATTATTTTGAAAATAATTAATTAAGTTGGGCCTTATTAAATTATGTTTCTCGTATATATCAAATTGCTTAAAGAAATATTGAAATAAATCCAAGATAAACTTAAAAGATGATAAATTATCTGAAGCTGATTCTTGAGAATTGTTGGGGATTTTTTCTAAATTACTTGATTGTGATGAGGACGATATATTTGCAAAGTTTTCATTAAGTTTGTCAGCAACATTTGATGCAGTTAATTCTCCTATAGTATTTTGAATCTTATAAAGAATTAATTTTGATTGATTAACGCTCGTCATTATTATCGAATTTGAGAAAGAATTCTGCACGTTATCTGATTGTTTTAATATTTTTAAAAATGTTCCAAGTAGGTCTAACTCTTTAAATTTATTTTCGTATTGATCTTGATATGCTTGTATTAAATCCTGTATACCTTTACTGTCGGCTTTTAATTTAATTTGCTTCTCATTTTGCGTTTTTTTAACGGATAAATCTGGTGATGTACTTTCCGTTTGAATGATATCAGATAAGTTAATATCTTGAAGACTTTTGAAAATTTGATTTATGTTTGGGCGTTGTTTTGACTTAAACTGCCAACAATCTAAAGATTATTCACCAAAAAAATATTATTAGTAAAACATATTAACCTCGATTACTTAAAATACTTTAAACTACTAGTAACCTGTATATATTTTAACAAATTCACGCGGTGTGCCATTAACTACTGTTTCACGTTTTCCTTGTATAATAGAATTTAAAAAATTAAGATCTGTTAAGGTTTCTGATTCAAATGGAACGATCCCGCTAGAAAGTTCCCAAAACAAAATTCCAAGACTATAAATGTCTGAACGTTTTGTAAGTTTATGGGTTTTAATATTTTGTAAGTATTCTGGATCAGAATATTGAATTGAAGTAAGTAAAGATGCGAGTGAATTGGATTTTGTTGCATATTCAGAGATTCTAAATGCACTTAATTTAATGTCACCACCGCAAACTAAAATATTTTCAGAATGCTGAACAAGTTTACAAGATGGTTAAATTATTTAAATTAATTTTATAATCAAAATAAGAGAAATTACAGAAATGCATACCATGTTTCCATGAATTACATTATTTGAATGCAAATGCATTACAGCACTTGTTAGTTGCTTTGCTAGACGAAGTTTGTCAGTCCAATTTAATGTATCAAAATGATTTTTTAAATAGTTTCGTAGAGAACCATTATCTGCATATTCAAATATCAGCATATACTTGTCTGGAAGTGATAATTCAGTAATTAATATTTTTTTTAAAAAAAAAAAGGAAACTTGTAGACAAAATAACTAATAATATACCTTGTGTTGTTAAACCAAATAATTTTAAAATATTATCGTGGTTATCTATTTTTTGATATTTTTGAACCTGCAAATAATAGATTTTAATAAAATATTGTTATATTTATGTACGTTCTTTTTTACCTTGAGAGAAATTTTCTTACATCATTAATAAGTTCCCTTAGAGAGTAATTCTGAGATTGTGATATTTCTTTTAATACTACATTTTTTTGATAAGTTATAGAAAATGCTTTTTGGATAACTCCTCGTGATCCATTTCCAATAACTTCAAAATTTTCGAACTTTTCATATTGATGAAAATTGTCATTATTTTTTTGGATCTCTTTAATATTGATCGATCCATCCATCCACTCCTCAAATCCAGTTTCAGATAGCATGAGTTTTGTAGCCATTTAAAACTCTAATATTCTACAGTTATAGCAACTTAATTGAAGGACAAAGTAATGTTGTTGAAGGACAAAGTAATGTTGACTCGCATTAATGTGAGCTGGTGTCTAAATATTTTGATGATCTTTTACCTGTGAGACGTGATTGTCAAACAAAACTTCTGAACAAGGAAGCTCAAAATACGATCACGAGCTTTACCATTTGATCTAAAAATTTAAACCATTTACATATTGCATTTTTGACTAACCAATTTGTAATAATAATTAATTATGCACCATACGGCGTTGCAGTATTCATGTAAAAATTAATAAATTATATATGTACACTAAGCACAACTTACACATGCTAACCAGAAGTTTATAATGTTCCGAGACAAATTACAAACTTCATTAATTTATAGTGTTTATAATTCGTTGTCTTATTTAGTGCTCCAACCTGTGATATGTATACAGTGTTCTTTAGTGGGATCTGCTACATATACGTATATTTGTTCCTGTGATACAAGCTCATTAAAAGGAAACCCAAATAATTAAACAAGACCTGTTATCGTTACATCTGTACGTATACGTATATGATGATGATTCGTATATGATGATCTATGATGATTTATAGTTTGGAGCCGACCAGTTTCCAAACTTCCAAACTTGTAATCAGGTGACGATCACGAGTTCTCATCACGAGTTCTCATCTCATGAATGCAAAACTTACGTTTTTGAGATTCCTGCACTTACATTTTTGATACTCCTAGATTTACCCCAAAATTTATATACTTTTTTGATATTTTATCCAGGTACGACCCACAGGAAGACTTTCGTACGATTGGCTGTTTAAGCCCATTTAACTTTACATTATTTATACGAATTAATGAATTTGTAACCGCGGTTACAAATAATAATTTTGTAACCGTAACTAAGATCAGGTATCAAACCAAATTTTTTATAAAAATAAAATCCTGCGATTAAGTTTAGGGTTAGAGTAAAGCCGGGTTGAAAAAGGGCATGGCTTATACCCAGTGATGTACATGGACAATGTCCATGAAAAAATCCGTGGACATGGACAACTTTGGACAATGTCCAATGTCCATGT